CAATTCAAAGAGAATAATAAATAAATAATAATATATATAATATTCGTCGTGGGTTCGAATCACAGCGAGTTCGGAAATGATTTTTTTTTTCGAATTTATTCCTAAGGGACTTTCTCCCGGAATTGCCTCCTTCTAAGCACTTATTCTATAACTTTCTTTCATTTCTATCGCGTCTATCATAGTGCCATGCGGTCCTCATATTCATATCTTTACATTATTCTATTACCGCAACCTAACAACTATTTCACCCCGAACTGATCCCATGCTGGCCTTGTAGTTCAGCTGGTAGAATAGGGACTTTCTCCCGGAATTGCCTACTTCGACGCACTATAACTTTCTTTCATTTCTATATCCTGTTTAACTATGATTCTTTTAAGAACTTAAAAGTTACTGAACTAAGTGTTCAAATATRTAATACCAAAATCGTGTAAARWWTAGCCGTTCCTAAGAAGCTAATACACGTAAACAGATTGAAACAGACAATGCATTATTTCCGAGTATTATTACTGACTGAGCGACGTACATTAACTTGATTGGTCGATGCACAAATTATATGACGTCATAATTCTGCAGCCAATCGAATTCAMTCACGTATGGGACAGTCATTTTCTCTAAAAGCTGACTCACCCTTGAACTGACGTTTTTTATGCTCAAAACTCTACTGATTTCTCTTTGTTATTTATAGCGGATATTCATACTGAACCACTTTTGAAGAAATGTTATCGGTTCTTCAACTGTATTCCAATCAAATTATCGATTCCCAGTGTTGATTTATTATCATTTTGTTACTACTATTGACTCTCTTTAAAAGTCAAGATTGTTATTTGATAAATGATTCTTTGAGAACAAAGCAATTAATACGAGTCTACTCAATATACGCTCTTTTGAGGAAATTGTCGCTCGTCCTGTGGCCGCAGCCCGTTTAATTGTATCGAACAGACCATGTTCATGTTTATAAATACAAATATATTGTAATTCTTTGATTAGATGANGAATAGTAATAACAATAACAGATCACACGTATATAGTTTGAATGATTGGACGCGGAAGTATGATGGGTTTCCTGTCTTAAATTCATAGGCACAGGAATCCCAAATATCTAGGAGACGGGGTTCAGCGTCACATAATCTAACAGTTACTGTTTTTATTGTGTTTTTGTTGTTGTTGCTTTCCTTCCTATTTTATATATCAAACTATATGAAAGGCGAGCTCAAATAGACGTTTGTTTACGACATAGCCTTAATTTATTGATCGGTAACACAATGGGTATCGCTACAATACTGTCACGCTCACAGTATCACAGTCTGTCACAATACGATGTCGTTATTAAGCATTTTATGCAGCAATTTCTTTGTGAATTCGTATACATTTTCCATAAAACATGTCACGGAATAGCCGACTTTAGATATTTTGGTTCAGAGAATTGCACTACGAGGCTCCAGGGAAGTAAAAGAATAAATCAAGATTATCCATTCTTTTCCCGGAGCCTCGTGTGCGTTCTTTTGTACATAGATATCGAACCAAATTATCTAAAGTTGACTATTGCTTGCTAAATATATATCTATGTATATGCACTGTCAAGATGATGACCTATCGCTTTATGCTTTATTCTACAAAAAAATCTTTTGTTTTTTAAAATCTTTTTTAAAAAGTTCAAAAATAGCTTAATTTGGCTTGCTATTCAATCGTTCAACATCTCACTTCTCTTCGTAATTTCTTTTGATGTCTCTTAGTCATTACAGCTGAGGATAATCAGTTTCTTTTCGGATTTCTCTTTATTGAAAAACAGAAAGAAAGATTGAAAAGAAAAAAAAGGAAGAGAGAAAATAAAAAAACTGAGAAATTAAGAAAATTCGCAACTGTTCACATAAAAGCCAGACAGAAATTTGCATCAACTCATGATTTAATTAAACCCAACACCTTATTACAGCATGATTAACTTCTTCTAAATCCACTGATGGTTTATTACAAATCCTACTATTTTATCTTATCAAGTAGTTATCATCTTATCTTATTTTAGAAACCTTGTCAATAAATTATCATTGGGTTGGCTTTGGTGGGCATGGACGGGATCAGTTCTGTGGCCTGGGCACCTCTTCTATAAACAGACGGCTTACGGAATTCCATCCGGTGTCGGCGTCAGCATTCCCGTACCCTTTGCAGTTTCCCACGTTGAAGCCAACACGTACTTTTCCCTCGTGAATCTTGTCACAGTGACCTAACAATATGGCGGACACGATGGATGTTTTGGTTCTTTCCTGTTCTCATGTACAGTACCCCGTCAATGGCGTTAGGGGACTTGCATTCACCACCGTTGAAGGTAAAGAACCAGCGTTTACAGCAGCTGTTACAGCCGTAAATTCTGAGGACGCCATTAAAGTAGACATGCAGAACGGTATGTTTGTACTTCTTTTGGAAAACACATTCCTGAAAAAAAAGAGCAATCAACTATCTAAAATTCTATTTAATATTTACGGTAAAATTATCACGAAATATCAAAACAAATTAAGGATTAAAACCAAAGCAAACTGTTCTTAGCTTGGCATGACACACATACCTTGATCAGCCCGTTGTCCTTGCCATCATTGATATTCAATGATATTCCACGAGCACCGGGTTTACCGTCACTACCAGGAGATCCGGGACGTCCTTGTGATCCTGGAGATCCTTGGAATCCTCGGGGACCTCGTTTGCACTCGCGTCCATCATANAAAGTGTCTTCATAGGTTGACCTTTTCTTTTCCTTGTTACATCTGAAAACGTTAGTTTCTTAATGTATCTTATATTTGATGAGCGTACGATGTGCGAGAACCATTTTAGTTGTTGATTATGGACAAATTCCTCCAATGGTGTTGCCATGCTGTATTGTATAATTTGCTGGTTATTTAGGATATAAGACATATCTGTATCTTGTGGGGTAGTTGTGGAATCACTAGATTGGGGTACCTTTCTCTTATGTCCTCCTCTTACTAAATTACGTAGATAGTAGTTGTATGTAGCAGTAAAAGTGTTCAGAGAAGCTTCTGGTAACGACCAAGTCTGACATGAATACGTAAGTTTTAAGGATACATAGGTTTTAAGGTATCAATTATTTCATGGTAATACAGCGAAAATGTTGTCTTTCATAAGTTAATTTGAATAGTAATAAAACTAACATATCACACGTATATAGTTTGAATAATTGGACGCGGAAGTATGATGGGTTTCCTGTCTTAAATTCAGGCACAGGAATCCCAATTATCAAGGAGATGCGGTTGAGCGTCACTAATACGTAATCTCATATTTATTTTTTTTTTATTGTGTTTTTTAAATCATACGTAATAGCCAGAGTGTGTGATAGCACATGCAAATATCTCATCGGAGTCGTGTCAATGTCAGTAATTATGAGTAATTGGCAACCGATTGCTTTTGGTTAAAATTTAGTACGTAAAACACATGCAAACAAAGGAATAGCAGCTATAATATCTTGTTAATATCAGTTATGACCTAAATAAACCCGAAATTCTCAGTGAACATTTAATATTTTTAGAAGTTTCTCAGTTAACAGTTAATCCCATTCAGACCCTGCTATATCCCTAGTCTTTCATATAATAATACTTTCTTAACTAAGAAGGATTATTGATTTAGTGAACTATATTGCTGTCTTCAGGTCATATTTGTTTGTTCATCAGTAGTTAGTTGTCTTATTACACGGTCAAGTCTGCTGTTATTAGATTGTGTTCATGCTGTTGAAAATGACCAGTGATTATGCTAATATCAACGTTAGCTGTCGACCATTCTTAACATAGACACGTGTACGCGTACGGAGTGAATTAAAATAAGAGTTGAGAGGGTAGAAGATGTTYGTTTTGCATTCGTACCTCAATTCTCACAAATGACATATTTTAAGAGAATAGTTAGTCTATAATTCGAAAATCTGCTGGTAGCATCGGGTTTCCTGTCTTACGCTCACGCACAGGAACCCCAACTATCCAGGATATGATTGCACAGCGTATGTCACGTAATCTTAAGTTAGTCATATCTGTGTTAATTTTTTTCTTTTTCTTTCTTTTTTTTTCATGGTAAATTGCTGCTTTAGATTTTGTAATTCAAACTATACGAAAAGCGAACTCAAACAGACGTTTGTCACTCCATGCCTCTTAGTTTCAATTTGATAACAGAAAAACGCAATGGATGCTAGTTAATGCTGTGTCACGCTCACAGTTGATACCAAATAGTCACGCTATGATGCCTTATCACAGTCTTGCTATAATACGATGTCGTGACAGACCATTTTATGCAGCAATTTCTTTTTGAATTCGTATGCTTTTTCAAGAAACATGGTACGCTATTGGTTGCTGAATATATTGTCACATATATAGTGTATATGGCCTGTCACACAATGAAGCCATGTCATGATGTTTACTGCATTTTTGTATATAGTGTATATGGCCTGTCACACAATGAAGCCATGTCATGATGTTTACTGCATTTTTGTAAACTGGTCACTTAATGTTTGAGGAAGAAACTTCTCAAGCTTTGGTTTTTATGATTTTCTTCTGAGTCCCACCACAGTTTAATCTGTCACGCTATCCATTCTGTCAACATCTTTATCTCCTTCTTCTCAATATTATGAATCAAATTTTATGACAATTTTTCGTTCTTTCGTCTATNAAAGCATGTGCGCAATACATTATTGGGGCATTATTGTCTGTTCAACAACCACCTGCACTGGTCAAAAGCATTTTGCCTCTTTTTGTCAAATCAAAACGTCGAGTTTGCATCCCTAATGAAAGATTTTGATTATCTAAGAAGTAAAGAATTTTGAAATGAAATATTAAAACGTCTTGACAAAGGTTTGAATCAATCGAGAACCACTTGCCTTTAGCTCTTTACATAGAAAGCAAGTAAGCGAATTAAAGCATTTTTCATTTTAAAAATTAAACTGAATCTGACAATACTGCGAGAGTTCTTACCTGAGTTTAGTGTTTTATCACCAAAAACACGATTCGCTTTGTTGTTTAAGAGGTTTTCTCTAGAGCTCCTCTCTGATCACTAACCAAAGAGAAAATGACGCCACAATGAGACAAGCCACGCATTGTAGAAGGAAAAAAACATTTGAACTTGTTTTTACATGTAGCCCCATGATGTCTTAGTGATGACAATAAGTATAAACAAATTTATCCTGTGGGGAGTATGGTTGGGATTTGCGGGAAACTGGCACTTTGGACATCAAAAAAACTATCATCCCCTGGGAGGGGGRGTGAGTGTTGGTTTGTTTGATTTAAAGAACTACTGTTAATAAGGATGTATGTAAAATTAAAACTTTGGTCGAGCGACGGTTTTCGATCCTATGCAATGTCGAGTAGTCAGTCTCCAAGGACCATAGAGTTTGAACCAATAATCACTATGAATCAAGAGGGGTACCGTAGAGTCTGCGCGGTATATCCCTAGTCATTCATATAATAATACTTTACTCAACTAGGGAGGACTATWGATAGATAGACAGGTGGTTTAATAAAATATCAATTTCACAGCCAGGGCCTGAATTGCCTAATATTGTAGTACTGAATATTAAAGTACTGATTTAGTGAACTATATTTCTGTCTTCAGGTCATATTTGTTTGTTCATCAGTAGTTAGTTATATCATTACAGTCAAGTCTGCTGTTATTGTGGGTAGATTCATTGTTTTCACGCTGTTACAAAAGATCAGTGAGTATGCTAATAGAGCGGATTTCGTATGAGTGGGACACCGTTACCGCACGGTTACCGCACAGTTACCGGACCTGGCCTSCACAATTTTGGTGAACCAATGGGGCACTAAAATTTGGTTACAGTACGATTACGGTCACAGTACAGTACTGTCCGTTTCCCACTCATACGAAATCCGCTCTATCAACATTAGCTGTGGACACTTGTACGGAGCGTGATAAACTTCGGGTCCAAAAGACATAATTTTTGATTTATCTGAATGAGATTTTTGGCGGATTTCCTCGCATTTTTCTAGGGTATCACTTACTTCATGTACTGCGAAAATGTTGTCTTTCATACTTAGTTTTGTTTTTGAATAGTAATAACAATAACAGATCACACGTATATAGTTCGAACAGTCGGGACAGTATGATRGGTTTCCTGTCTTAATTTCCTGGGCACAGGAATCCCAACTATCCAGGAAGCGGTGTACATCATATGTCACGTAATCTCGTTCTTACTGTGTTTCTTTTTTGTTGTTGCTTTCATTCGTAAATAATACGATGTGACCGACTATATTCCATGCTGCGATATCTTTATGAATTTTATTTTAATGTCACGCTATTGCTTTCTGAATGTATTGTCACGCTAGGTATATGTCCTGTCATGATGATGTGACTGTATTTTTCTTACTTGTCACGTAATATTTGAGGAAGAAACCTATCACTCTTTATGCTACAAAATTATTCTTTGTTTATAATCATCAACGTTCAAAAACAGCTTAATTTGCCACGATTCCAGTCTTTCAACATCTTTCTATCCGTCTTCTCTNTTATTAAGTAAAGGAGAATTGAAGTTGAATCGTGATGTATCAACGTCCGTTCATGAGGGATAATGAAGAAGATTTATAAATATTTTGTTGACAGTAAAAGTTAATAAAGGTATTCATTTTCTGTACAATGTTTACTTAAAACGTATAAAAAAGCATGTGCGCAATACATTATTGGGGCATTATTGTCTGTTCAACAACCACCTGCACTGGTCAAAAGCATTTTGCCTCTTTTTGTCAAATCAAATCGTCGAGTTCGCATCCCTAATGAAAGATTTTAATTATCTAACAAGTAAAGAATTTTGAAATGAAATATTAAAACGTCTTGACAAAAGTTTGAATCAATCGAGAACCACTTGCCTTTTTTAACTCTTTGGCATAGAAATCAAGTAAGCGAAAGCATTTTTTCATTTTAAAAATTAAACTGAATTAATGACAATACTGTGAGATCGCTGTGTCTTCTTACCTGAGATTAGTGTTTTATTACCACAAACACGATTAGCTTTGTTGTTTAAGAGGTTTTCTCTAGAGCTCCTCTCTGATATTCAACCAAAGACGAAATGACCCACAATGAGACAAGCCACGCATTGTAGAAGGAAAAAACATTTGAACTTGTTTTCACATAAGTATAAACAATTTTTATACGCAGTTTGTTTAATCAACCATGAATAATTTTAAACTTATTTCCAAGCTTTCGACCTAAGCGGTCAAAACGTCTTTGTGTTCCCTGAAGATGACCGCTTAGGTCGAAAGCTTGGAAGGAAGTTTAAAATTATTCATGGTTGATTAAACAAACTGCGTATAAATATGAAAAATACAACCAACAAAGATCTTTTAAAAAAGTATAAACAAATTTATACTGTGGGGAGTATGGTTGGGATTTGCGGGAAACTGGCACATTGGACATCAAAAAAACTAGCATCCCCTGGGAGGGGGAGTGAGTTGTTTGATTCAAAGAACTACTGTTAATAAGTATGAATGTAAAATGAAAACTTTGGTCGAGCGACGGTTTTCCTATGCAATGTCGAGTAATCAGTCTCCAAGGACCATAGAGTTCGAACCATTGATCACTATGAATCAAGAGGGGCCGTAGAGTCTGCGCGGTATATCCCTAGTCATTCATACAATAATACTTTACTCAATCAGACAAGACACACGAATTTATTATCGTAAAATGCAACGATGATAAAGTCCTACAATATATATAAACATGACCTTACAAGTAAAACAGAAGCCAATACAAATATATAATAGCAATACACGAAGTAGATATAAACTGACTTACAATAATAAGACTAGAAGTCTGTTAAATTACGACGTGAACAGAAGAAACAACGTAGCTATTACGATTAAACAAAATGGTCAAGTCTGCTATTATTGTTGGTACTGGTTTCATTGTGTTCACGCTGTTACAAAGATCAGTGCGTATGCTAATATCAACATTGAGCTGTGGACCAATCTAATGGTCGAGGGCCGAAGATCTGTTCTTTTGAGTTTGTTGTCGATGAAATATCGAGTCGTAGTATTATAATAAAACTTGCGTCATATTTTTTTTCATGGTGCTACTGCTTTCAAATAATAGTTTTATTTTGAATTCCTCATGTTTATGAATAACAAGCACACACGTTTTACATGGTTTTTCGCTTGGGTCGATAAAACTGGCGTACATCAAAGACACGTAAAACACAAAAAACAATGCTCCGTTGTTAGTTTACAAACAGTACCTTAACGTGTTAACGATAACTATGAAACTACATGAGTATTATTTAAAAATTTGTTTGATTTTTTTTTTAATGGCTAGGCTGCCTGTAGCTGGTCAACTATTTATACCACTTTTGTTGTGCGTCGCCTGGAGACGTCATACTTCAACCGCGCGAATATAACGTCACGTGACAGCAAAATATCAATTATTAATTAATTAATTATCATTAATTAATTATTCGTACCTCAATTCTCACAAATGACATATTTATTTTATATTTTTGTCCGTCTATAATTCGAAAAACTAGTCGTAGCATTGGGTTTCTTGTCTTACGTTCATGCACAGGGACCCCAACTATCCAGGAGATGATTGTACAGTATATGTCACGTAATCTCACAGTTAGTCATATCGTTGTTGTTGTTTTCTTCATTTTATTGCAAATTCCTGCTTCGCATTTTATACTGACTTCAAGATCTACGAAAAGCCAGCTAAAAAGACGTTTGTCACGCCATGCCCCTTAGTTTATTATTCGATAACAGAATAACGCAATGGATATTTGATATTATTATATAGCCAGGATGTAAAACACGATTTTATTGGCTAAAAAGCGGGCCATACTTTCCCGTACGGCACAGATAAAACGAAAAAAAAAACGTTTTTAAATCTTAAAAAGGCTCCCTTTTTCTTTTTTTGCAGTTGTACTGTATAATAAAGAGTTAAAAATGAATCCATATTTTACCATGGAGGTTTCTCAGGCTTTTCTTTTTTCTGTTTTGAATGACAAAAATAGTACGAACAAAAACGTATTTTTATCTCCGATTCTCTATTGATTTTACTATTTTCCCCTGATAATGCTACATTAAATGTTAGCGTGACGCATGCAGTATGAATATCGTATTAACCTCGCTTGCTCTAGCCGCATGGGAAGTTATGGAACCTTCGCGCTCTGGCCATAAGTCAGTGGAAAAAAACTCGGTCCATAACCTCCCGTACTTCCCTCGCGCTCGGTTAATAAGATATTAATACTGCGTCACGCTCACATTTGATGACAAAYAGTCACGCTATGATATGGTATCACAGTCTTGCCATAATACGATGTCGTGACCGACCATTTTATGCAGCAATTTCTTTATGAATTCGTATACTTTTTCATGAAACATGTCACGCTATTGCTAGCTTGCTGAATATGTTGTCACAATATGTATTTATATGCCCTGTCACGCAATGAAGCCATGTCATGATGTTTACTGCATTTTTGTAAACTGGTCACTTAATGTTTGAGGAAGAAACTTCTCAAGCTTTGGTTTTTATGATTTTCTTCTGTTTTTATTCATTAGAGTCCCACCATAGTTTAATCTGTCACGCTATCCATTCTGTCAACATCTTTATCTCCTTCTCAATATTATAAATCAAATTTGATGAGACTTTTTCGTTCTTTCATCTATTCAATGCTTTTTTCATTTTCTTTCTCCCTTTTAGTCTTTCTTTCTTCGGTCCTTCAGTTCAAAAATAGATTCATTACGGTTGATAAAAACTAGACAAGAATTTGCATCAATTCATGATTTAATTGAACCCA